TAACGGGACGAGACGACTTTTAGGACGTGATGGGATACAGGATCAAAATTTATTTTTAATCTTTTTTTTAGAACGAGACACGAGACGGGAGTCTTTCGATTATATCTTGTCTCGTGAACACCCCTAATTTTCATATTCCACTCGGTTCATTCGGTCATAAAGGCTTTCTTCGTTTACTTGGACCAAGTCAACCCATCTGCGTGCATGATGCATGGCTACCATATGCAATAACCAAAGCTAACTGGATCACAATATTATTCCAAAAGGACCACTTATATTTAAAACACGCACCCACAACCACATAATTCACACAAGTAATGTTGAGTTGCATTTATTTCTATTTCACTTAAATTGTTGTAGTTAACGAGCAAAGCCGTCTTCCTCTCCAACTTATTATTATCATAAAATATGGGAAACATACGTGTATATAAATCTTGTTGAAGGAACACTAAGCTCAGTTTCGTCTTCCAAGACATCTTTTAATTAATAATAGTAAATCAAAATATGGTGTTTAAGTAAAATATACTTCCTCCATTACAAAATGTAAGACATTTTTTAAAGGGTTGAATGTAAAAAATTTAAGACATTTTTAATATTTCAAGTTGTAATCATTGTCTTTTTTTCAAAAGTATCCCTATTGAATAATCGCTTTATATTTATTTTATAGTAAAACACCCTCTTATATATAGGGATAAATATGAAAAGATAATATTAGTTTGAAGATAAATAACTACTTTATTAGATGTTAAAATTTAGTTAAAGATACCTTATATATTTAATGGAGTAAATATAAAATATGATACTTCCTCTGTTTTAAATTATAAGAGACTTCTATTAAAAACATTTAATGACATTACTTTTTTAAAATAAAAATATAAACTTTCAAAAGCACCCTTTCATTTAATATATTAAAAAGAGAGATGAATAGAAATTAAATATATAGAGAAAAATGGTAATATTCTAATATTGAAATAAACCTATTTAATAAAATCTTAATCTTCTCAATGTCTCTTTTATTTTGAGATGCTGAATTTTTTTAAAAATGTCTTATAATTTAATGATTAGAGTATTTTGTTTTTGCTAGAACTATAAGGGCTAATGAACAAAATAAACCCTGAAGTATTACCTGAAAAGTGCCTTCAACCCTGAGCTCTTAAAATATGTAAAATAAATCTTAAACTTTTAAATTCATAGTAAAACGAACCCTAACTATTAAATTTTTTTAATTTCATACTGTTCATGTGGTACTGTTCATCGTGGGTCCCATTTAATGCTGACATGTCATTCTGAATTAGCGCCATAGATCCTAAACTATTATGTTAGTAACGTTATGAACCCTAAATTATTATGTTAGTAGCATTTTGGAAGCAAATTACCCCCACCATTTATGTATAGAATGTTGATTATTATGTAAATCAAATTAGCTTTAGTATGGTTCGCTGCGGTGAATGCATCGTTAGCCGTGGTAAACGACCCATAATTTTGTGAAATGATATTTTTTTATTATTTTTTACAATGTTTTCCAAACGATTGGTATCTCATGCTTCCATATACTCTATAACTCTAATTTAATATTATTTTGAATAATGTTTATTTATTTAATAGTGAAAACTTGGGATTCCATTTGAAAAGAAGTTTAAATATTAGATATTTTAATTAACCAATTATTTTGAGTATTAAATTCATTGATGAAACTATCAACTTTTGTATTTATTATCTGTAAAATCCTATGATACTTAAACTTCTTTTCAAATAGAATCCCATAAAATCTTAAAATTGAATTTAAGTACCGGAGTCCTCTTCTGCTATTTGCAAATCATTGTTATGACAAAAATACATCTAAAAGAGAGTGATTAAATGTGCATCTAAGACAATAATCCTTTAGTCAAAACATTATTTTTTTAAACAGTAAAAAAGGATCATGGTCATGAAATTCAACTTTAATATATTGTTGTCCTGAATGATTATTACTGATTTTTACAGGTTGTTAGTTGTAATATTTCCTTGCGTATGTTGTCCTTTTTGCTGACCAAATAAAATAATAATACAGTTCTTGATCTTTCCTTGTCGATGTGGCTGGCGTGTAGATTCTGCTCGACAGCCTGGTGCACAAGAAAACAAATTGTCTTGACTTGGGGAAATCTCACCATTTCGAAATTACTAAAGTGATTGACCTGGTCGTGCCTCGCGGTTGACCGCGTGGGTTTCAATTTTCTCAACTCGCTCGTCCCAAAATTCCTCATTTCGACACCGCTTTTCGTTGAGAATTGAGATAAGGAGGATTTGTAGTCGTTACTCTGCTCCCTCTCATATATAAGTAGAGATGATTTTTTTTTTCTTTATTCTAATTATAAAGTATAATATTAATTATTTTATCACTCGTTTTCTCCAGTGCTCTTATTAAATATTGATTATGTATATTATTGAAAATTATTCTCTTAAACTTCTCACTCACTTCTTTATAAATAACAATAAAGTTAAGGATTTATTAAGTTTTTAAATAAAATTAATAAAAATTTAAAAAATCAATAAAACGTATATTGGAAGTGTTTAATTATAAATAGCATAGAAGGAATTGCTTTTCTTTTCGGTACAATTCCTGAGCGTTTTTGTCACACGGTGGCGAGGACGATGTTTACTTGACCCATGGAAATTTCATCATTTGGAATTTAATTGGGAGGAAGGTTGTTGGGTGTGTTTACTTTCAACTCTAATCTCCAAATTTCTAATCCATAGGCTTTTTTTCCCTGACTTCAAGGACTATAGGCCTGTTTGTTATGAGATATTTAAGCCTAATGTACAATTTCCGCCTAAAATAATGCCACATGACTTGACTTGGCTACAGCGGCACCCATGCATGCATACAGGCATAGTTGACTTGCTCCAACAAAATAATGTGCAGTTTTTTTTTTGTTTATACATTTGATTAACGTTAAATAGCGACAACAATAAACGTTGTCTCGCTAGATGGGAATAATCTATTGTTTATATTTACATTAGATTCTACAGAATTTTATGCTGGTCATCGATAACTAATATAACTCTCCTCTTTTATTCAAACTTAGGACTTGTTATAAAGCGTAGGTCTAAAATTAAATTAGACATATTTTACCAAAAAAAAAATCAGACACATTAATTCTTTTATGTATTATATAAAATTTATAAAATTATCACCCTAATCATAGCTTATAAAATATAGTCCTATTTGTTGTAGCTTTATACCAATCTATCATGGAAAATTTTGGATTATCAAAACAAGCTATGCGTAAATTGGTTACTGTTAGATTGTCCAAGTCTCCTTTTATATGATTGGATGAACAAGACAAAATGTAGAAGACAATGACTAATTTTACTACCACAATAATACTTATGCTGAAAAATGTGGGCTATATGCTTCTTTTTCTCTCTTTTGGGAAAAATCTGGAAAGTACTTTTTTTTTTCCAAAAATCTCTCTACTTTTGGGGGAAAACGTATGGAGAAAATATGACCTCTACATATTTTCTCACCTTTTCTTTCTTATTTTCTCTTGCCATCTAAATAGGGAAAAGTATATTTCATCTCATATTTTTCTTTCAAAAGTTTTTTCTCTTAATTTTCTCTCTATTCATTTACTATTAGGCAAAAGTTAAAACTCAAACAAATTATAAAGAAATAATATTTTTATATAATTATCTGACTACATCAGATTCACAAGCTTCACGTCCTTAATTAAGAGTAGCTCTTCTTAAAATATTTTCTGTATTCACAGATACTCAAATCTGAGTCCTTGCATTTAAACGATCATCTCTTCCACTAGAACCCAAAGAAATGATATTTCAACTCATTGCACAAAGAGAACCTCATCAGAAGTGAAATTTTGATTAAGCACTTGACAACGTATATTCCAAATGCATGGAATTATTCATATATAGTTTGGGCAGATTTGCATATAATTTACCTACCGTTGAAATCTGAAATTGTCACATTATATGTAAAACAACTTTCTACTAGATTAGTGGGTGATGTGGCTTTGTTTTTCATTGGCATGATGAAAAATGCTGGTTGCTTAGGTTCAGCTAGTAAGATGGTTTCATTAGACAGAAAAGAAAGAACATCTAACATATCAGGTCGGTCTTTGGCTTGATCTTGTACACACAAGAGACCAATATGAATGCATCTCAATAATTCATCAGCATTCCACGTTCCACCTAGTGAGGGATCGGCTAGCTGTAAGGCTCTTCCTTCATCCCACAACTTCCATGCCTAATTAAAACAAGTTTATGTTCGGTTATGTATATTATCAAACATTGAACTTGCATGTGGGGATGCCTATTGGATGAAATAATATTATATACTTACATATCCAATGAGATTAAGTGAATCTTCAGAATTAAAAAAGCTAACATTCTTCTTGCCACTAATAATCTCAAGTAGCATCACTCCAAAACTGAAAATATCAGTTTTTATCGAGACAATTTCATTGAGAGCATATTCTAGAGACATGTAGCCACTAAAATAATAATTGATAGAAAGAAATAAAAAAATATTAGCCTCTCAATCAATTAAATGATATATATATATATATATAACAAAAATTAAACAGACAAAAAATTTTTAACTTACTCTGTTCCAACCACTCTATTTGTATTTTCTTGTTCAAATTCTTGCAATTCATATATTCTTACCATGCCAAGATCAGATATTTTTGAACACATCTTGTGATCAAGTAAAATATTACTTGGCTTCAAATCTCGATGTATCACTTTTAATTGTGAATATTTGTGTAACTAAACAAGTCCTTGATCTACACCTTGAATAATATTGAGTCGTCTCTTCCAATCCAATAAAATCTTATTATCATGATCTATATCAATGTAATTTAGAGGAACATGTTATGACATATCTATTTTAATAGAAAAACGTTATTATAACTTAAAGGCAAGTAAAAGGCATGCCAAAAAGGTAAAAGTCCAAACTCTTAGTGGGCAAGTATTCATACATTAACATCTTCTCTTCTCCTTCAATACAGAAGCCATGGAAGTCTTACTAAGTTAGTATCTTGGAGTTTGGCATTCAATTTGACTTCATTCTTGAATTCAGTTAAGCCTTGTTTTGAACATTTAGAAAGTCTTTTGATTGCTATTTCTCGACCATCCAGTAATCTTCCCTGAAAAACATTGTCAAATAATCATCTTCAATTCCTCATATTAGGGCGTAATTAAATTCCGAGCATTTATCAGGAGTGTTTTTCCTCTCTTTTTGCTTCATTTCCCCCCTCATATCATCCTTTTTAATTATTACCAATATTTAACTATTACCTTGTACACAGGTCCAAAGCCACCTTCACCTAGCTTATTTGTCGACGAGACATTATCTGACGCTAAAACAATGCTTTTGAAATTGAATATATGAATTTCATGGCCTGTTTTGTCACTTTTACTGAATTTCCATTTCTCGCTTACACTTAATGGTATCGCAATATCTCCAATTTCATGTAATAGCTTCTTCTGTTCCAATCTTTTTTGCCCTATTCATCACCAAGCATGTAAGTATGATATTAAAAGAGTATACAAAACAAAACAATCTGATTTATTAGTACTTAGTGGAGAATAGATGGATAAGATTTGATAATGATTTATTGGGTAAAAAGCAAAGAATAGAAGAATGGATCAGCAAGAGTGGCATTCTAATCAATAAAAAATTATAAATAATTGCAGAAATTGAAGTTCGTAAGAAATGATGGTCATGAATACTTAATGATGCTCAGTAACGGGAAAAATTTTATGCGTACCTTTTAATTTCTTGGTTTTGAAGATCCAAACTCCTAAAGAAACCAGGAGGATAACAACCAAAGCGGAAACAGAAGCCGCAAGTTGAATAACAAATTTATGCTTTTTGCATGAATCCACCAGACATAGACCAGGATTATCTGACAAACTAAGGGACAAATCAAATATACTAACATTAACTTTGATTATCAGATAATAATTGGTTGGACGACATTCAATGCAAATGACAAGTTCAGTACTTTTGAAAATTAAAACGGTTAAGATTGATATATGACTGGAATTCTTTCTAAAGTTACGTCAGAGACAACTAGAGATAAGATCAACTAGTATAATATTTTTGAACGCCCATCCAAATCAATCACTTTAAATGAATTTATTTTGATTCACTCAAAAAGATATTCATAGTTGCATAGTATACTGTAATAGATAGATAAATATGCATGGGAACCTTAATTGCAAATTTCCATTTGACTTTTCTTTTAAGGGCCTTTGGAACTGAACCTGTGAGCTTGTTGCCAGTCACATCACTGCACAATCATTGCAAAAAATATCAACTCTTTGAAGAGCAGGTGTGTATTTCAACATCTTTTGTTTTGTTTTGGACAACAATTTTGATTGCGACAATTCTAAAAGTGTTGCTAGTGTGGTATAAGCAACAATGTTTGTGTGTTGTTATTAATCCTTACTTTAAACAACAAATATTTTGTAATGTTTGAAAAATATTTCATAAAATAGAATAGACAACGGTTTTTAAAATATTGAAATAAAATTTTTAAATAGGCAATGCAACATAAAAATCCGTTTTATATAAATCTTCTGTTTGCCAACATTTAAAACCATTACTTATTGTTTTTCTACTAATAAAAATCTATTTTGATAACTTATCTATATTGTTTTATTTTTTATTATATATATATATATATATAAATAATATTTTGTATTATATTAATTAAAAGTTATGTTAGAAGAGTGGTTAAATTAAGCCACCTGAAGTCTTAGGTAGCACTTATCTCATGAATGGCTGCTACTAGTAGTGATTTTTTTTTTAAAATCAATTAATCAATATGAGATAGCGCTTTCTTGAGTGTCAAATTTTTGGAACAAAGAACGGAAGTGACGTTAGGTACGTATATATATACTATAGATAGGAATGCTTATAATGAATAAAACCGCTCCAAAGTGTCAACAGAATTTAATGAAGAAGCCAAAGACTTACACTGAGGTGATCCTTGCATGGTTGTCATCAATGCCAGAACTGCAACCTAATCCCTCCCAAGCAAGTTTTGGAACACACGGATCTCCTTGCCAATCTAATTTGGTGATCTTATATCCATTTTTTATATCCAGGATAGCATCCACTGGGGGTATTAACAATTATAATTAAGTAGGGCATTAGAGTCTAATCCATGATTCAACAATATGAAGCATACATTCCCAAAGTAAAGCGAGGAAAAAAAAAAAAAAAAGCTAGACCCGTTATAGAAATAGTTGAATGAGGAACGATTGATGGGTTACATACCATCTCTTTTATCTGTTGGAGAAGGCAGGGGCGATATCAATTTAAAAACCTCGAAAGCATTGAGGATTGGTGGAGCATCAGATTCCGACGTTGCACTAATATTAAAACGAACATAGCCTTGAGTTGCTTTTCGATGAGGAGCAATAATGGTCTGCGGCTTCAAGTACTCAAGAGTTATAGGCCGGGCGAGGATGTTTTCATCATCAAGAGTAATATCGATCGTTCTTTTCTGCCCAGGGCGAAGCTGCTCGATTTCACAAAGTGAAAGTAAACAAAGTATTTGGAAGACCTGTCAAGGTTTTTCCAAAAATAGTCACAGTCAAGGTACAAATCGGAGGAGAGATTGATAGATTGGACTGCAGATTTAAGTACATCTGCAGGTAATTTATAAGAGTTGTTTATGCTTTGAGGATGAATTTCAGCAGAACTAATGGATGGATACCAAGCTGATACATTAATTTTGCGCCACAGACGATCATAAATGTCATCCTTGTACCTGCAGATGCAGAGAAAATTAGAAATTAATAAGATAGATGGACTAATGAATTTGGCGATTTCTCACATATGTGAGTAAATCATAGACATACGAAACATAACATGTTAATTGTACTTCCTCTTTCTGATCAAATTCTTATATATAGAGAGAGAAAGAACACAGAAATACGGAATGTCCTCACCTGGTGTCGCTGTAGAGGTTTGAAGTTAAGCTAAAATCAAACGCTCCTTGCTTGTATAGTATCGAAAGTGAAGGTGAGGGCATTTGATAAATGGAATTGCTCAAAGGTCGAAGTTCCAAGGCTGAAAGGTAAGGTATTCCATCGAAAGATTTTATGAGGCACACATGGATGGATAATCTCAGTGATGTAAGCAAGTGTGTTGTAGTCAATAGTGTCCCAAAAGTTGACTCCGACGTACAAGTCGAAATTGGAGTTTTGTTTTTGTCATCATAATTTCCATACATGAAGTGAGCTCTAATGAGATAAGTATTGTTCTTGCCCTGTTTTGGTTTCAAATTGTAGCAGTTCCTTCTTCCTTCTGGCTTTTCAGCGAGCTCATCAGTCCTCCGAAAGAAGGAAAATCTGTGTAGGAGGTCGGTAAGACCATAGAATTGTTACCAGTTTTTACAAATTTTGAGTCAGTCTGATACCGAATTCCAGTTTCCATGTCCAAATAATCATTCGATGATCCACAGTCGATGCTTATAAAATCTGCACAAAAACAAGTGGCTAATTATAACACAGCGGACGGTTTTCAAAACAATAAGCATCTGATCTGAAATGAATTTCCGATTGATTGGTAATTGTTACTCAAGTATCATCTCGCCTTTTTAAGCATTTTCATTGTGTGTGAGTAAAACATTATGTCATAGTAGTCAACTTAAAGAGTCAATACTGCACAATCTCTTTTAAACAATCTAAATTTTATTTGAGATATAATTTAAATTTTAGTTAAATGACAAATTTGCCCATAAAATATAGAATGAGACAAGACGAGAGTGTTTATAAAACAGGATCAGGACAACCTTATTCTATATATTATGCCAAAAAATGAACTGAATTAAATTTTTATCCTATATTTTATCTCGAAAGTCATCATGTCCCATTCAAGATGAAGACAAAACAAAGAGTCTTGGTAAAGCAAAAAAAAAAAAAAGGAAGAGAGACATATATAGCAATATTTATTAAATTTGATAACTTGCTAACTCTAAAACCAAAACAACACAAATATATAAATTCCATCATTGAGTTATAACAGCTGTAATTTAAAGTGAAAGAAGATGATCACAGTTAACTTAAAGCCAAGTACACAATAACCACAAATGACCTCTAGGTTGCAAGCACAACAATAAAATTATTGAGTTACACAACTTAAATAGTTATGCAAAACAAAATAAATAAACAAATATATATATTATGACTAAATAAATAAAATATTAAATATTAATAAAAGAAAACAAAAAAAAATGTAACAATATATTCGGGACGTGAAGCTAATGATGATCCTGAGTCTCATCCCAAACATATTTTTGTCATGTCCTACAAAGTCCTGTCTCATTTATTTTCTAACAAGGATAGACTCGTTCCTACATAATTGAAATGGAATTGGGCTAATCGGGACAAGGACAAGTGTGAACAACCTTAGGTCTTGAAGCGTTTGGAACCCAAAATTTGTGTTCGGTGCAATGTTTCCCTTCAACATTTCAAAATGATATAATATTGCCCAATAAATATTAATTTTGACTGTTATTTAACCAAAAAATTATAGAAAATGATATAAAAAATTATAGAAAAGAATCAAGAAAATTTTACTGATTTTTCCTATAATTTTTTGGATTTTTTTAATTTTTTTGTCAACTAACGATTCAAAATTAAGTTTTGTTAGCATAATGAACATTGTATGAAGATGAGTTTTTCTCCTAGACGCTTTGTACCTATAACTTAAAGGTGAAATTACCTTTTAGTCCCTTGAAATTAAATCCGTTTTATAGTAGTTTGGTTGGGGCGTTATACCAGGATGGGGATCATCGTCGGGGAGATTCCTTCCATGAAGCATTGCTGTGCTGTTGTCCAGATTAAGGAAAATTTGACTGAAGTTGAGCCATGTAGTTAAAGCATAGAATCCGTCTTGATGCCTTTTCCATGTTATCTGATCTGTTGTATACACAAGATTGCAAGCAAGCTTGAGATTATCGTTAATACAAGAATTAGAAGAGTGGACCCAAAAAAAAAAAAAAAGATGCATGAGAAGAAGAATAGAGATGGACTGACTGGCTTGAGAAGCCCGAGATTTCAAACTAAGTAGAATGAAACAAACCAAGATGAGCGGCGATTTGAATGATACAGTGTACCAAAATATGTTTGGAAGAAAGAAAAGTGAAAGGAGATATATTTCTAAATTTGATCTATTGGTCAACAACCATGCATGCACGAAAGAGTCCAATTAATTCCCCCGCGCCCCCACCCCGTTTTTTTTTTTTTTTTTTTGTTGGCAAAGGAAAATGGAGAACCCATGTTTTGGGCGGGACATTAAAGTCGATGATCTGTCACGACGAGGAATTAAAGTCTTCAGGAAATTTCAAAAACTTTAATTAATAGAGGAAAATTTGGTCAAAAAAATATTTATGGTGGCAATTAAATACAGACGGAGTCAAACCATTATTAAAAAAAACAACCTTGACATAAAAATCTTCAGTTAAGGGGTTTCAATTTTGGGGGAAGTAGTTAAACATTACGTCAGCGTCATGGCCTTGAGTTATACTTATAAGTCAATCGCGTACGTCTTCTGCTAAAGGAGACAAATCGACTGGACTTACGGAATTTTCTCTTGGAATTTACGGTTGTTGGACTTTTTCCTTTAATTTACTTGCCTGTTGAATGAAAGGTTTATTTACTTAAAATGAAATTGAATAAAAAAATTCTAAATAAATTTTTTAAAAAAAGTATTAGGAAGAAATAACTATTAACTATTTTTCTTTAACTATCCACTCAGGAATTTCTGATATTCTAACATCACATACGGTGTATTTTTTTTTTCAACATTTTAAAATGGTATATTTGGCACCATACTTTTAAAAAGTTAAATCTGATAGTTAATTAACACAAAAATTACATAAAAAATTCATAAAATTACAAATAAAAACTCAATAAAAAAATAAATATTGATTAAGTTCCTAAAATAATATGATAATTTATAACCCTTCCTCCAAAATTTATAATTTCTCCCTAAAATATTTACAGCTAATATGAAAAATGTAACATCTGAAATTTTAATCTTCTTCTTCTTGTTTTTTCTTTTTTTAATGAAGGACAATTTATTTCATAAACATATTACTCCCATACAAACATAAACAAAACCCAATCAAAGCACAACTGAGCCCGGCAAAATAACAGAAGCTAAAAACAAACACACCAAATTGCCATAAAAACCTTTTTATGGTAAAAACCTTTTCGGCAAGTGATGGGCGAGAGAACCTTAAAACAACTTATGAATTACCCCTGTGGCACGCTCATTCATTATTTACCTATGATATGCGTCACACAAGAATTATATTTAATCAAGGCTTTGCACGACAGTAACAAGTCCCGATCATAGTCTAAAAATGTGTGTATGTAAATGTATAATGTACTATTAAATTCAATTGTATCATTGTCTTCTTCTTCTTCTTCTTTTTTGTGTCCAATAGGTATCCTCCTATTGGAGGAAATTCTATTTGAGGCACTGTCATGCTAGATTTGTTATATTAAATATGTTCAATGATAGTTTACTTTGCCAAAAATAATGCTTAAGCCATTTGATTAGACAAATCTTAAGTTTTATATATTTATGATCTATATATCTTCTAATATTTAGATAAACCTCTTTTATTTTTAATATTTCCTCTACTACTTTTTTTTTCATTTTTTCTTTTTTTTTCCTTGTTGTCTACATTCAATTTTCTTTTCCTTCATCTTATATCATGTTAGGTTGTTATATTAAGTATGCTTAAGAATAATTTACTTTCCCAAAATGGCTTAAGCCAGCTATTTGATTATTAAATTTTATATATTAATTATTTATCTTCTACTATTTAAATGTTAGATTTTTTTTTATCTCTAATATATCAGGCCCTAAATATGGGTAGCTATCTTGATGAGAATTTAAATCTTAATTCACTATATTGCAAGAAACTAATTTTTTTGTTAGATCAAATCCTTGTTGGTTTGTTTTTAATTTTTTATACTATTAAATTTAATTTTAAGAAAGTCACACCATCCCACCAAGCATAAGAAGCAAATGCAGATCATGCCCCCAAACTCATACAAGTTGACTACTTACGTGCGCTAAACTTCTAATTGTAAAGAAAAGTAATCTAATCATATTGTATTGTAATGCATTCATTAGCATCTTCTGTGATCACAAGCAATACGACGAGCCCTGTTTGTATGAGCTACAAGGCTTGATCATTTGCCCAGTAGGTATTAGTATGAGGCTTAATTTCATGATATTGTCATTTAATGAAAGACAATATAGGAAAGATGTTACAAATCCTTCTTGAAAATTAAATTATTTTTTTTGCATGCTTATAAAAAAAATCAAGAAAACATATGAAAGATTTTCTTATACTTGTAAATATACATAGGGAGTACTACTTGCTTAAATCGTGTATATGTACTCATTTGGTTTAGTATTTTAAAACACTTTTTAAAAAAGATCACGTTAAAAAATATAAAATATGTTAAGTCTTTCAAGATATTTCTAATTGAGACACCTATTTATAAACATGAAAAGAATATATATAACTTAACTAATTTATTGAAAAAAAAATTAGTTAAAAGTACTTATAATTTTGAACGAGAGGGGTAAATTGTTTTGAACTACTTCAATAGAACCCAAGAAAAAAATTCTCATCTGGAAATCTAAATAATAAAAAAATTGACATTTATAGTTTCTGAATAATTCTTCTTCAACTAATAGTTGGGCGTCCTCCAATAAAGAGAGGAGTTGAGAATTGTAGTTTCATTCTTGACTGTATTTCACCTAAAATTGAATGTGGGGACATTGAAGGCTTTGTTGATCCAAGATTAGCTGGAAAATTTAGTGTTACCTCAGTATGGAAAGCTATTGAAGTAGCAATGCCTTACCAACATCAACCCAAAGACCAGACATCAGTGACCAATTTCAAGCAGTACCATAGGAATGTTTAGCTTTGGAGATGGACCATGGGAGAATAGATAACACAATACCAAGAAATTCACATGATTATACTGTGAACTGTGAATCGATGACCATTCTCTCTGCTAGGTTGTCACAATACTTGTATTTCTGCTAAACAAGACTAAGCTAAAAATCATAAACCTTGCGCGCGTGTAAAGTGTAACATTGAACATAAAAATTCGAAAGTGTGATACGACCAAACTAATGAAAGTTTATCCACTGTAGAAATCTGAAATTGTTAACATTATACACAGAACAATTTTCTACCGCATTAGCGGGAGATGTGGCCTCGTTTTCTAATGCATTAATGAAAAAGGCTGGTTGCTTCGGTTTAGCTAGTAAAATGGTTTCATTAGACAGAAAAGAAACCACATCTAGCATATCAGGTCGATCTTTGGCTTGATCTTGCACACACAAGAGACCAATGTGAATGCATCTCAATAATTCATTGGCACTCCATGTTCCACTGAATGAGGGATCTGTTAGCTGTAAGGCTCTTCTTCGTTCCACAACTTCCATGCCTAAAACAAGTTCATATTAAGTTATGTATATTATCAAACATTGAACTTAATTGCGTGTAGGGATGCTATTGGATGAAAAAATATTATATACTTACATATCCTATGAGATTGAGTGAATGGAATTAAAGAAACTAACATTCTTTTTACCACTAACAATCTCTAGTAGCAGTACTCCAAAACTGAAAATATCAGTTTTTATTGAAATAATTCTGTTAACAGCATATTCTAGAGACATATAGCAACTGAAATAATAATTGATCATAATAAGAAAAAGAATTAGCCTTTCAATCAATTAGGTGGCATACAAAATTTCACTGATAAAAGAAATTTGACTTTCAACGTTCCAACAACTTCATTTGTATTTTCTTGTTCAGATTCTTTCAGTCTAAATATCTTTACCATGCCAAAATCAGATATTTTGGTACACATCTTGTGATCAAGTAAAATATTACTTGGCTTCAAATCTCGATAAATCACTTTTAATATTAAATATTTGTGTAAATAAACAAGCCCTTGTGCAATACCTTGAATAATATTCAGCCGTGTCTTCCAATCCAATAAAATTCTATTATTGTGATCTATATCAATGTAATTTGGAGGAACATGTTATGGCATATTCAGCTTAATAGAAAAGCATTCTTATAACTTGGTGGCAAAAATTTGCATGCCGAAGAGGTAGAAGTCCAAACTCTTATTGGGCATATATTCATATCAACATTTTTTCTTCCCCTTCAACACAAAACCCATGAAGTCTTACCAAGTTAGTATGCCAGAGTTTGGCAAACAATTTGACTTCATTCGTGAATTCAGTAAGGCCTTGCTTTGAACATTTAGAAAGTCTTTTTATTGCTATTTCTCGACCATTCTGTAATTTTCCCTGGAAAGCATTCTTGTCAATCTTCCTCTCAATGCATTTATCATCAAGGGATTGAGAATAATTAGAGAGTAATTAAATTAAAAGCATTAATCCGGAGCATTCTTCTCTTTCTACTATGTTTTTTCTCTCATTTAATTTTGCTTTCATCTTTATTATGTAGCACCAAAGTGACACTACAATACAAAATATTTTGATGTTACCTTATACAGGTCCAAAGCCACGTTCCCCTAGCTTATTTGTTGATGAGAAGTTATCTGTCGCTAAAACAATGCTTTTGAAACTGAATATATGGATCTCATGGCCAGTTTTATTGCTTTTAATGAATTTCCACTTGCCGCTTACTGACTTACTGTACTGATGGTGTCGCTCTATCTCCAATTTCATGTAAAAGCTTCTTCTGTTTTAATCTTTTTCGCCCTACTCATCACCAAGCATGTAAGTAAGAAATCAAAGGGAAGACGATACCAAAAGAAACCGATCTGTTTTATGAGTACTTAGTGACAACTAGATAAATAAGATATGATAATGATTTATTGGGTCATAAGTTTTAGGTGCTTCTAGCACAAAGCAGAGAATAGAAGAATAATATAATATAACAAGGGTAACACTCATTCTAATCCAAAACAATATAATTGCAGAAAGTTCATAAGAAAAATGTTGATTATGAGTACTTAATTAGTTATGCTCGATCTTCTCACTGTGACGAAATATATCTGCTAAGAATTTTTCAGAAGTCAACAATTATTGGTGTTGGCAGTCTTAGGATATCGTTGAAATTAATTATTTTGATTACTGCTTGCGTGAGAAGGAGCTCTGTTTCAGTTGGGTCTAAGAAGTTTAACTTGTATTATTGGATGAGGGCTTTAGTGTGCTTAATGTGGGTTCTATTTTTAATTTTGAGGTGTTTTGAGTTGGACATGGTTTTTGTGTTTTCAAAAGGTGTCATGATCCTTAGAGTATTATTCAATTTGTATCTGATTCTTTGGATTCATATTGGATGGATATAATGGTTGGTTAAGAGCATGAACTGCCGCAGAGTGTTAAGATAGCAGAATGTTGAAAGCTTCAAATGAGAGGCTAAGTGAAAAGGTTGGTTGAGTGGACTATTCTGTGTTTAAAACTGACGTGTTTGCTTTATGGCTTAAGTTGGTGTTTTGGTTCACTCTGTTTGTCTTCCACTAGTTCTTACTGTCCATGGAGAAATTTCTTGCCCGTAATGGAATTGTCTAATTCTAGTGCAGGAATTTATCAATCTTGGCAAAGCTCTAGGCTCTTATTGCTTCAAGTGGATTCCAAGACTCTATATTGCAGCTGCTTGTTGGTGTGCTCTAGCTGCACTTTGCGAGAAGTGCTTGAAAGATTGGGTGTTGCAACCTCCCTTCTCCCCTGGTTATAATCCTAGCTAATGATCTTTCAAAGTTTAGGAATCACTGTCCTTGTTTTTTGTTTCCTTTGTTCTTCTTTTTGTGCTTTCTTTTTGTTTAATTTTCTATTGCTGGTTTAGTTTTCTGCTGTTGTTGATTGGAGTTGTTGCTTCTATTTTGTTGTTTCTGGCTTTTGCCGCTGGTTTGAATTATATAGATATATATATATATATATATTTCTTTGTTGGCAAAATAGTGACTCGATCAATAATGAGAATAGCTTTATACGCACCTTTTAGTTTCTTGGTTTTGGCAATCCATACTCCTAAAGAAATCAAGAGGATTACAGCCAAAGCAGAAACAGAAACCGCAAAGGGAATAACAAACTTATGGTTTTGCAATTGGCATGAATCCACCAGACACAAACCAGGATTATCTGACAAACTAAGGGACAAGTCAGATATATTAACATTAACTTCAATTCTCAAGATGATAATTAGTTTCTGTTAGAGCAATAAAAGATGCGTCACCTGCCACATTAGTGTCAACAGAGTCAAAGAATGATTTTGGTCATTTGCCTCAGCCTTTCCTATCTTTTGCTTTTCATTAGCCGTGTGTGTTAGGATTTGTTATTCTCCGCTCTATATATTGGCAATCGGAATGATTAAATGAGAATCTAAAATTATCTATGGAAAGGCTGAGGCAAATGACCAAAATCATTCTTTGACCATGTTTGTAATAGCCCAACAAAATTATTAATAATAATAATAAGTTTATAAAAGCTATATTTATTCATTTTAATTAGTTTTTGGTATCCCCATGGATGCGGCATGGTGGAGCTATGTCAGTTATATAATGATTAGGTTCGAATCCTCTCAATGTAAGAACATTTTACTTAGCTACTACTGTGGCCAGAAATTACCATTATGCCCTCATCCCCATCCGTTTTTGTTCCACTTTCCCGATTCATTTTGCGCATTTTGCATCAATTGAGACAGCAAGGGAGAGCTCGTCTTGAAGCTTCATCCATCGTCCTCCAACCTTTGGTCTCTTCGTCGTTCATACTCCCCGCCATCGCCAAGGAGAAGGTGCGCCAGACTCTTCTTCCTCCTTTTTTATTCACGTTGCCAGATTCTTCTTCCCCTGTTCCTTCCTTTTTATTCTCTTTCCATCTTTTTGGTTATTGAAGAGGGAGCTGAGAGTCGTCGTCCGTCCATTCGTCCGTCACACTTCAAGACTGATGTTGTTAAGGGAGTTAGTTCGTTGCTGTAGGAGTTTCGAATGGTGGTCGTCTCCTCCCCTGCAGCATCGTCGTCCTTCTTCTGTCTCTGTTTTCTTCAAGTGCGTCCAGTCTCTCCCTCTACTCCTTGTTCATTTTGTGTGGGTGTGTTTAAATGGTGAAAATTGTAATAGTTGTTTCCTTTTCTTGCTGCGTGAAGAATGGGGGAGATGAGGATTTTATTTTTCTTGAATTATGGCTGATTGATTGATCAAAGAAATAGAATTTGGGGGGTTGATTTATTTAAATATTGATGTTAGAGAATTTCTAGGAGTGGAAGTGGATGGGAAGAGGCTTCGTATTCTTTAAGGATTGATGCTCATAAGATGTTTAATAAAATGCTCTTTAGGGGAGTTTTGCTTGATCATGCATTTTATGAAATCTTGTTAATTATGATGAGAAGCATGATTGGTTTAAATTCTATTTAGTTGATATTTTTAACTTGAACATTACAAAGAACTTGATTTTAAGATATTGCGTGGTTTGTTGAATTTTAAAAGTTTTATATTAGTTAACCTATGACTATGATATTGTTTTATCATTTAGTTTTGAAAATACATTTAACATGTAAGACAAGATAAGTGAATGAAATATGATAAAGTTTATTGTGGGTGATGGTTATAAACCAGAGTATTACTTTACAACTTAAATTGGGGACGTACTTAAGGTATTTAAGAAAATGAGTAATATATGAATAGTGAACTAATAGAGTATTTGCTAGTAATTTGACACAGAATCTTAATCAATAATTAGCTATGGAAAACTTTGTGATTTAAAAGATGCTATTGGGAACATTGAATTATTGGATTAAATATTGGTTGTGTTAATATTGGAAGATGGTTTATCGAACTTATGGAAAGTTTATTTAGACCTTATTATTGTTATAGGATGTTTGGAAGAAAAGAGATTCGATTGGGGTTGTGAAGAGTGAATTTTGAACATTGAGAAATTTCTATATTAGCAAACTTTCTTTTATTAAAATATGTTTTCAACTATTTGTAATTATTAATATATATATATATATATTTCTTGCATTAGCTATTTTTATTAATTAAATTATTTTATTTCTTGAAATCATGGTATATACTTGAAAGATTGATGAAAATGCTTTTAGATATTCTAATACTCATTTGGTCGATAGAGATAATCACAGAAATTGGTGAAAGAGTTTGAGATATTAGTTATAAATTTTTATATTTAAAAAGACTGATTATTTTAATTGGTTCATGCGAGTTTGATACTGATAAGAGAAATGTATATTTTGAAAAATAATTATTTTCTCACATGTTTAAAAATAGTTTTTCGAAGGGATTATATGTAAAACACTGGTTGCTAAAGGTAGCTCTGTTAGCCCTTGGCGCACCATAGTCGATGACTAGCTAATTTGATTTTCGTGAGCTATGCTCTCACATTTGTTATTCGTGGGTTTAATAACTGCATTTGTTTCGTAGCGCAGGTTGCTTTTAGTTACTTACCCT